GGATGAGGATGAGGATGGTGATGGTCTTGAGGGTAAGGGTGAGGGTGATGAGGGTGAAGGTTAGGGTTCTGATGATAGTGATCATGATGATGGAGTTGAACAACAACGACGATAGAATTATAATAGTAATAATAATAGTAATGACAACAACAGTAATGATAATGTTAGTGATAAAGATAATGATAAAACTAACAATAATAACAACGACATTAGAAATAATAGTAATAGTAATGATAATGATAATAATTTTAATAACAATAATACTAATAGTAATACTACTAATGATAATAATGATAATAATGATAAAATAATAATGTTACCAAAAACAACAACAACAAAACAAGAACAATGATAATAATAGTAATGATAATGATAGTAACAATAATGATAATGATAATAACAACAATGATGATAATAATAATAACACCAATTATGATGATAACAACAACAAAATAACCTTTACGATAATACTAACGATAATATTGAAGCTGATTTTACGATAATAAAAATAATAGTCTTTTAAAATAACATGATATTAATGACGATAATGGTATAATGCTAACAGCCATAATACCACAGATAATTGAAGCAATACCACTAAATCAAATAATTAAAAAATAAACGAAAACAGTAATAAAAAAGCAACGAGAATATTGATAATGACTAATAACCCCAATAATAGCAATAATGATGACGATGATGATGAGGATGACGATGATGATGAGACGATGATGATGACGTTGATGATGTTGATGATGATGATGATGGTGATGATGACGTTGATGATGATGATGATGGTGATGATGATGATGATGATGATTGAAGATGATGGTGATGATGATGATGATGATGATGTTGACGATGGTGACGATGATGATGATTGAAGATTACGATGATGAGGATGACGATGATGATGAGACGATGATGATGACGTTGATGATGTTGATGATGATGATGATGGTGATGATGACGTTGATGATGATGATGATGGTGATGATGATGATGATGATGATTGAAGATGATGGTGATGATGATGATGATGATGATGTTGACGATGGTGACGATGATGATGATTGAAGATTACGATGATGAGGATGATGATGATGACGGTGATGATGACGTTGATGATGATGATGATGATGATGATGATGATGATGACGGTGATGACGATGATGACGATGATCTTTACAACTGTCGGTTTCATGTTGCTTTGGCCACATATGTTGGCACCAGGAACGGTATTACGAAAGAGGAATAAAGAGAGAAAAAAGAGAGACAAAATAAAGAAAAAAAGAAAAGAAAAAAAGAGAGAGAAAAAGAGGATCATGACATAACAAGGATAAAAACAAATTGACGTTTCTACGTTCTTTTTGTTTGTTTGTTTGTTTGTTTAGACTATTTCAGTATCAACTTTATAGTAAGATTATATGACTTAGCAATGATGTAACTATGATATAAAAACAGTATTTTTTTTTATTATGTTATCGCTAGCTTGCTCAATTAAGTGTAAAATTAGAGAAATGATTATTATTTTTAGTTGAATTTCAGTAACATAAATAACATAAATAAATAAATAAACAAATAAATAAACACACGAATAACGCAATCAAGGCAAAAAATCTCTATTTTCGTTTTATTTTAATCATCGTCTTAATAGTCTGATTTTGCCATTAAATTTTTCGTCATTTTCTTTTGACTTTAAGTGTCTTTTACGTTTCTTCTTCGCCTTCGCTTTATTATCGTCTTCCTTCATTCTATTATCTTCTTTGCAGTGACCCGTACGAACCGCTATTAGCAAACATTAAGCCACAAACAACACTGATTATGCATATGATAACGTAAACAACTAAGAAGAAATTGAAGAAAAAGAAGAAAAAAAAATCACAAAAAAAACGAATAGTCGATTTTTTTTTGTGGATTAAAACGGAGAAAAACTAAAGACAATCATTGACGAGAAAGAAGATGAAGTGGTGAAAGTAAATGAAATCTGATCGAAACAATGTGATAAAACAAATAAAAACAGACAGGTTAGAATAACGTTCAGCAGAAATGCGTTCAACAAGGGCATAACAGGCAAGCACACAACAGAAATTATTACATTTTTATGCACTCTTTATACACTACGCGAAAAAAAAAAAAAAAAAATGTTAATGCAAACAATAGCTGGAAGCAGAGGCATAGGGAGGGACAGACACGAGGCAGACACAGATACAGACGAATAGATGCGAATATAGACACAGCTGCATAAACAAGGTCACAGACACAGGGAAAGACACAGACATCGCCACATACATAACCATCGTCACAGATACAAACATCACCGCAGAAAAACATCGCCACATATAGAAACACCGCCACATACAGCTACAGTCACACACATCGCCACAGACACAGCGACAAACATCGACACAGACACAGCCACACACATCGCCACAGACACGGACACCGTCACAGCCACAGCCACACACGCTCCCACACGCACGAACGGACGCATGCGTAC